CGTACACCCCCTGTTGGATGGAACGAACAGGATGAATAGAACAAAATTCAACTAAGTTCAAACATCTGTAAAAGTGACAAAATTAAGAAATTGCATAAAAAATTATGAAATGCACACCTTTAGAGTCCCTACAAAAGACATGTAGAAGTTCATTCAATTCTGTTAAGCAGTTTTTGTGGAGAAGTGGATAGACTTCATCCCCTATTACACTATCATCATAGAGAAATTCAGCAAAATGTACCAAAGTTCAAATGTCTCTAAACTTACAAAAAAAACACAATAAAATACAAAAACAAAATATGAGATGCACACCATTAGAGTCCCAAGAAAGCCCATGTATAAGTTCATTGAATTCCACAGAGCATTTTTCGTGGAGTAGTGGATAGAGTACATTCCCTGTTTCGTAAGGACGGACACGGAGGGTAACCCTATATGCCCCCAGCCATATATGGCGGGGGCATAAAAATTCTCACCCACACTTATCTTTTAGCATCATTGTCATTTATTGTGACTGTGGAACTATCTTATGTACTGTCATAACTGAAGCTTTCCACATAGAAATAAGTGAAGCTGGACTTTGACATATCCTGAACACATCATCCATAATTTACTCCCAATCTGCTGCGACCATGCCATCCTGAAGCTGGTCTCACGTCTATCCAAGCTGGTCTGCTATCAGCACTATTGATGTGAAAACATATTTTCACAACATCGGCACTAAATGACAGGAAATATTATTAATCTACATTTGGAAAGAATTTATTGGCAAATCAAACCAAAAAGTGTTGGTAGAAATTGATCAAGTAGAATACCACTTGGTAACACAGTTGGGAATGGGTGGTCCAGGAGATAAGAGCACATTTTACAACTACTTGCTCTGCACACATCCAGGACAGTCATAGCCCTGCACTTTCCCCACCATCAGACATGTAAAATGCTCCAGAAATAGCTGCAAATTTCATGCCAACTTTGTTGTGCTGATTAAATTGTTGACTGGTGACAAAGATATATCACCAAGTGGTTCTGCTGACGTCAAATGGTATAAACATGATTAATTGTCTGCCAGTAGATGAGATATAAATTTAGAATCCAACATGATTGTTCTAATTTTGAGGTGCCTCAAGGTTTTGAGGAGTATTCCCCTTCAGTAACATACTGACTCTGACTGAACCATTTTTCAAATATATTGAAGAATGTTAATAAAATATGGAATGGTTATACAGTTAATAGATTTTGACCACCTTGTTGAAACCTACAAGCATGAGTTTAATGCTGACTTAACAAGAGGTGGGTCTGGGAATGATGATCATGACCAGCGACACTTTTTATAGGAAGGGAATGTTGACACCACCCAACTGGAACCAAACCAAAAACAATACACCACCCAACTAGGGGAGAAATAACTATGCATCAACAGACCATTGCACATTCAGTGTCAATTTCAAGTTTCTTTTTCGTGAACACATGAGAAGGCCACTGGGCGTTTAATGCTCAAGATTATTTTTTTGCAGCACCTGCACAGTCTTGATTATTCATCATTAATATATTTTAGGTATGTTTTTATTATACACACTACTTTCTGTAAGAGAGAAAATGCATTATTTGTTTGACTTCATCATAAGGCTCTATCCGTTTTTCATTAAGGTTGATATTGTGAAACATAAATTCCTATCAAATACGCCTAATGTGTTCCCTTCTTACAAATATGTTTTTATATAAAGTTGCAGAGATGTGAGAGGAAGTTCATGAATGATATAATTATCAGCAAAAACACTGCTGCTGTGTTGTGTTCTCTATTACCAACATAATTAGTGCAAATGCACTGAAAATCTCACAGAACATGACAAGAGCTGCTCTGTGGTTTCAGATTTGTCAGCTGGGTACTCCCAGCTTGTGTCATAACCTACCTCCCTGACTGTCCAACATTACCAGAGTTTTCACCCCTACATCTTGACTCTGAAAGGAAGGAACCAAACACAGTGCAACACAAGCCATGCAAACAAACAAAAATACTTTTCAAAAAGCAATAAACATGTTTTACAAGAGAAATGGAAATTGTTGACAGATCATGTATTTTATGAACAACATAACTGCACAAATTGAACTAAAACAATGTACAGTTAATGGTAAAAAAACCTTGCAAGAGCAAGGTATTTCTGGATAAGTTTTTCTCTTAATGCCAGGACCAACATTTTTTAATTAAGATCTCCAACTATTCAAACAGAAATTTATCTTTCCATTTCTTGTGTAAACTTGCAGTAGGTAGAACCATCATCAGGCCATTTTCTGTAAGCTTTCATAAGATAACAGCTCAGCATCATGTTCGATGCTTTCCCTCAGCAGGGAGCTACAAGTGATAAGATTTCCAAAATTGTTTGTTATTGTTTGATGATGGTTCTGCATGACAAGGTTTTGTCAAAAATAACTGAAACAGAATATACAACAGCGAACTGAAAAAAATGAGATAGTGCAAACTACAGCTGACACCTGATGGGACACCTTCACTGAGTCACAGACTGAATAATCCTCGGCAAAGGATTCGTGATATTTAGGCAATTACCCTTCAGGATGGTTAAATATTTAGTGGACATTTACAGGCGGTTCACACCACTCTTAAGACATTCTTGGTGAAAGTAAATTGTTTCTTGTCTTTTTGTTTTGTTTTTCAACTCATATTTTATTGCTGAAACTATGTTATAAAATTAGACCCACAATGGTTTCAGCCTTTTTGTGCATAACCAAACAAACACACACCCTCATTCACATCCAATCGTACAACTGCACACATGAAAATGGTAAGTCAAGTAATCATTAGTATCCTCCTCTGAGCAATTCAAGTTATTGACATAGATATTCAAATTTGCAAAAGGTTATTAAAAAAGTGATGGACACTTCATCTCCATCTCTCATGAAATCTGATTTGCTATGAACCTTGTGAGAGTGTTGGTCAATTTCTTATCTTAGATAAAGCTTTGTTTTTAAGTGTTCAAGGCTTTACTTTGAAACTTGCATACCTAAATTAAAAATTTGGAAAATAAGATGTGAAGATAAAAAATGTCATGAGAGAAAACATAATAATCATCTGTTTTAAGAGTAATAAGAAAAACTGGGCATTGAGATTCATATTCATGACATGCCTTCACTTTTGCCGACTCCAAAAATCTCTGAACATCTCACATAGTGAACATACATTGTTTGTCCAGTCAGATGGAATCACCCGTATGATTAACAACAGTTCCCATATTAGATGATTTAATGTAAGCTATTATCCAATAAAACATAAATAAAATGGTTCTACATTATCCAGCTATGATTTACTGATGCTCTCCTGTAGCAGCTTAGGCACACTTTACAACAGTGTTTGAGACAGACTTAGCCCATGCTGACTGACTATTTACAGAATGGTGGTTATGACTGTTTAGTTCCATCACCGCTTCATCGCTGATCTCGCACCTTTGTCTGACAATTTACCATTCTTAAAACATAAAAATAAAATGTTTTTTTGCTCCATGCCAGAAAACTTTCACAAAATACTTCTAACCATCTATAACCTGTGAGATGTCCCTTGCTGGCTTAAGGTACATGTATCAGCAACACTAAATCATATCGAAAACAATTCAGATCATTCCCTTTAACCATGTGATATACGTTACATGAAATATGTCAGCCCATAATCACAACAAATTCCATAGCAGCTGATGTTGACCACTTTAATTTGTGCATAACCTTTCGGAATTTGACAAGCTCGAGGAATTTGACAACTTGACATATGTGTAATAGGACCCAGGTTTTCATCAATACAAATCTGAACTGATTATGGATTGGGTTTCAAATGCCACATGCAGCCAATAATCGTTCCTACCCTTCTGTTTTCTGAAGTCATTTTTCCTTTTTAAAATATATGAGATAAACAATGAAAAAAACCCAAACCCAACCCTACTTTAAAGATGTTGGTAATTGGGCCTGTTGTGGTTTAAAGATACTTTAACAAACTGGGATAAGTAGAACCTTCTGTATTGTCATTTGGATAATGTTATGTATTCATTTGCAGGGATTTACAGAACGCGAATTCCTGCGTCCTATACGCATAAAAATTGACACTGGATGCCACAAAATTTATAAGCGCGTCCACAGGGACTCAGACAAAATCCAAATACGTTTTGTAAAAATTCAAATCAAGTGACAATAAGTTATCATTAGTTTGTTACTAGCTCGGTTATATGGTATTATTGCAATTGAATTACTGTAACAATGTGATGATCATGATACACAATACAATAACAGTATTAATAATAACATTTAAGTGTCTGGGACCCCCATATTGTTGTCCAGGACCCCTGAAAATTAAGAGTATGAGTCCCAGGGACCCTCAAATACAGGACTCAAGGTAAATCCCTGCACTTAAACATATCCCCCCACTCCCCCCAGAGCTATTCAAACAGACCAGAGCTATTGTAATCTGATGTTGTACAGTCTGCAAAATTAGTGTTGGAAATTTGGAAGTCAAGTCCTTTACTAATTATTTTCATTTCTTTGTGTATGATGAGCAAAATGTAATTTCTTTTCACCAGATTAGTGACTTTAAAGTATAACATCTGTGTGAATACACACAAGCTATTCTTCAGTATACAGTCTTAGATAAATTGCTAATACAAATATTGTTAGCTGTGAGAAAATGCTTGTCTTATTTTAGGTAAAAGAATTGAAAGATCTTGGAAAAATGGATGAAACATTACATGACCATTCAGTTGTACAAGTATTTTACAGTTTGACTTGATGTTGCTTTTAATTGTGAAAGCATTGGAAAAAGAAGTAATGTTTTTCCTGCTGTGAACAGATAAATATCCCATCAGGTCAATAAAAGAACACAACATTCATAAAATGAAACAATGCTGGTGAAGACAATATGAAATGACTTGAGAATAAGGATGCAACAGGCCATGATGACAACAGATTCATGTCCAGCACAAAATGACTTTCACCCAGCAAACATCTCTCACCTCCCTGTTCATCCAACATGACCAACGTCTTGATGCCAGCCTCCTTGCTCTAATTGAGCAATTGAGCAAAAATAAGTTTGTGACATTTGAAATAACATTAAAAGTGACAATACAGTGGGAAAAGTTCAAATCATGGATGACTATTCAGGAAATTATGTCACCTTTGAAATTATTAATTTCAAGCTTTACATAATATAAAGACAATAACTAAAATGGGTTATGTGGTCACAATAAATGATCCTTATAAATAATTTTAAAATTTGATTTAAAAAAGTGGAAGGTTGGACAAAATAGTTCTAAATATCCTTTCCTTGCAACAATTTACTTTCCATCTCACAGAAAGAAAGGAAGATACATTGAGCTAACGGGATTTGAATGAAATATTGGAACTACACACTTCCTGAAAATCTGGTTGGCAGGCTGAATGCTTCATATTCCTTCAGTTAGTAATCCTTATCAATGACAAAACTTCCTGGACTGTTTCAAAGTTTGAACTTTTACCCTCCTATAACAATAACAAAACTGAACATAACCTGGTGAACTGCTATCAAAATGTATAAGCTAAAACACAAATAAACTGAAGGATAGTATGATAATAATCCTGTGTTCCTCTACTCCATGCACAATAAATGCCTACCTCCTTGTTCATCCAACATGACAAGGGTCATGATACCAGCCTCCTTGCTCTATTATAGAGTGAACAAACAAACAGGACTTGATGTTAATGTTTAGATCATTCAGGCACACCGATTTTCTAGGACTTTGAACATGTGGCATTACACCTGTTAAACAAACACAGATATATTCTGCTCAACACAGTCTGGTTTTCCCACCAAAGACATCAAATACCCAGCAATATCCTGCTGAGTGTAACTGGGCTTAGAGCAGCAAACCAGTACCTTACAGTTCCAACAGCTATTCCATTTGGGGAAGGCATCACTTGTTGGCAAGAAAAAAATGTTGTTGCTCAAAGCAATATTCTTGCAACATTATGGCAAGAAAGACAGTGATTTGTCTTCACACAATCTACTCATGTACATTGAGATGATCTGAGGGAGACTTCATTCATTGATGGCCCGACACCCAGTACCAGTGATCTCTTGCCTTGTACTGGAAGCATTTAATGTACAGTATACTGTCTCAGATATCCAGTAGGAACAACGGCCTAGATGATAGGTTGTGTAAACAATTATGCTGATGAATATATTATTCTTAAGGTAGATGAAAAATCTTTGTTCATTTCAATTCATACAAACATACATTAAAGGTAATCAAGTTAAATTTGAGTCCGAAGTTGAAATAAACATAGCTGTTTGTTACATCATATTTACAGCAAGTAATCTGAACATTTTGAGATGGCATACATAGTTGATATTTCAGTTCAGAGGTGTGTTTCTTACTTATTTGTCATGTGTGTGAAACATTCTGAGCCTGGTTATGAAAGGACTACAAAGATGGAGTTGTTTGCTGATTATTTTTCAACATACCCCTCTCCAGAAAAACACAATGTGATTTAGAAAGTTGTCAAATATAACATATGTGATATTTGTGACAAAACATTCTCAGTAAAGTTCAGATTGTAGTACTTTTTTCCAGACGCATCCAGGATTCGAAAGCACACTCACAGAGCAACTTGCTAAGTCAGTAATCTAACCCGCTTAGCCACCCTCCTTAAAGGCCAATAAGACTGGATTGCCTGGATCCCACTTGTATAGTGAAGCATCACTATCTGCATGTTGCTTGCCAGACAGGGTTTTCTTCAAGATCAGGAAACAGTGGAAATCTGAGTACCAGCTCTGGTGGATATGGAGGATATGGAGTCATAGTAATGCATTGCATTGTGACCACAAACTTGTGAACAAGTGTATTATCCTGGTGGAGCAACACCTTAAGTGAGTGTTCAACCACAATTTGCCTTGATTTTCTCATGAAGATTTCTGCTAAGCAGATAAGCATCATATTGACTATTAATGGAGATAGTCCACAAGTAGAAATCAGGGATTGGGATAAATAACTTTGACAATGGGCCATTTCAGGATTATTAGTCATTTTCTGAATTTAGAATGGGCAAAAACCATTGTATCAATAGTAAACTTCAAAATTTTAATGGGCCATGTTTTTATTCTAATGTGCAAAATGGCCCATGGCCCCTGCCTTTCCAAATCCCTGAGAAATCCTTGAAAATCCCAGAAAACTGGAGCTGTCATGATGCCAGGTGATAGAACAGATGTTGCCTTGCTTGTCTGAAGAGAGTTTACATGTTTTTACTGCATTGATTGTTGTTTAATATTTGGTTGATACCAATGAAATCAAGATGCATTCATAGTTATTGTAATAGTCTTCTCGCCAACTCTCCAAATATCAACCTAAACAGAATCCAAAGGATTCAAAATAAAGCTTCTCGCCTTGTCTCTCTGTCCAAGAACTCCACTGGCTCCCGATAAAACAACGGATTGACTTTAAACTCCTTTGTCTGACATTCCAATGCTACTCTCAAACAGCCCCACAATACCTATGCGACTTACTTCCATTGTACTGTCCCAGCAGGACCCTTCCTAACATCTGTTTACTGTTCCAAAAGTGAAACTCTCCAGTTACGCGAAGAAATCGTTCGCATATGCTGCAGCCACTGTCTGGAACAATCTTCCCCTTGATGTCTGCCAATGTCAAACCTGTTCTGCCTTCAAAACATCTATCAAAACCCATCTTTTCCGCCAAGCTTTCTTCTGATTAATCCTCACTGCTCTAAAACAGATTAAGATGAAAACGCAGCAGAGAGGGTTTGGTGATCCTGGCACAGTCAGGCTGGTAAGGCTCATCATCAGCTCAGGGTCCTTGTCCCCTCTACACGCAGCCCAGACAACGAATAGGACTTTATTTCCGGAGAATATGTAGACTTCCCAACACTGCAGCCTTCTGCATTACCCAGAGTGTCAGAAGGGCTGTGCTCCCGGTGGAAAACCCTGGCACTCTCCTCATCTGCGCCAAGAGACCAGGAGGTACAAAACCAAGGGCACCGAGAACAATGGGCAGTCTGACGACAGTGTGCTTGGGATGCAAGCAAGACATTTCAAAGGCGAGGTCCACATACTTCGCATGCTTTTCCTGAATCTTGCCAATCATGCTGCTGTCAAAAGGGACAGAAAATTCAATGACATAAATGAATTCATTAGCTTTATCAAAAAGAACAAGACCAGGTTTGTTGGCAGGAATTTTTCTGAGGCTGTATATAGGCATATTCCAAAGAAGTTTAAAAGAATCATTTTCCATGACGCCCTGGACATGTTCAGGGTCGTACCATGGATGGACCTCGGAGTCAAAGCCACAGGCATGGCGAAGACGATAGTAATAGCAATGAGCCATGCCATCATGTCGTTTAAGATATGCTGTTGATGCCAAAGACAGGCATCCACTATCAAGGTGTTGGACAGTCTCTGTAAATTCATTGCACAATTGACATTTCATGTAAATATTTTCTTTTAAAATCACATTTTGATGATTGCAAGTTGGAAGTGACTAGTCCTGAGCAGCAAAAAGGAAGCCCTCAATTCACATTCAAGACCAGCCGACTTCATCCAGGCGAAGGAGTCGGTGGGATTGCTATTCTGTTCCATGCACTGCCTGTACACACGATGCAATGGTTTCTCAGAAAGTTTCTCCACAAATGACCAACTCTGGGCAAACGTGGTGAAGGACATCACCTGGTTTACTCCCATCGCTGTACCGTCTAGCAGTACATTGCCATCAACAAAATCAACCTCAAATTTCAGATTTTGTCCAACAACTTTGGCACACTTAAAATAGCTGTGGAATTCATTACTTTCATCATGAGTCTTTACATGCATCACCAGAGGATCATCCGATAAATAAATATGTGCAAAGGTACACAATAAAATTCTATCATGAAGAGCCAAGATTTATACTCGGCCCGAAGTTTCTCTTGAATCTGGGCATTCTGGAGCCTGTCTCGAACTTGCATTCCAAGATAGGTGTAGGCCTGATCTTCCATAAGATGCTCAATTACTCTTCCCCCCTGTAACTTGACCAATCCATCATTAACTACCTTGCCACGTTTCAGATGAAGAGTATTACATTTGTCAAGTCCAAATGTCATGCCAATATCATTAGAAAAGGACTCGACAAGGAGAACCTACAAATTGGTATCTCCTTTGCCAAGGAGCTCAATGTCATCCATGTAAAGGAGATGAGAAAGCGGTTTTGGGGATCTGTGCTGAGGAGGTCTGGGATGGTAACCCTCCTCTTTATTGAGCAGATAACTCAAAGGAATTAAAGACAAACAAAAAAGCAAAGGACTGAAGGAGTCCCCCTGAAATATTCCCCTTCTGATTGGAATAGGCTGCGAAGTAAGCACCTGCCCTTGTGAGTACATCTCAAGTTAAGTCGACCAGCAACTCATTAAAAACTTGAGTAAATCAAGTAGTCGCTCAGGGAGGTCAATACAACGAAGAGACTTCAGAATCCATTCTTGAGGGACAGAGTCATATACCTTTTTGTAGTCAATCCAGCACATGGAGAGGTTGCAGTGATATGTTTTAGCCTCTTCCAAAATCATTTTTTGTACAAGAAGTTGATCCTTGCACCCCCAACATCCCTTTCTTGCTCCGTTCTGCTCCCTGTAAATAATATCATTAGCAGAGCATTATGATGACACAAGGTTTGTCAAACACCCTGTGAATAATTTGTATTGTCTATTCAAACATGTGATAGGGCGGAAGTTTTTGGGATCAGTCAAGTCTCCTTTTTTGGGAATGAGTATTGTGCAACCTTTGCAGAACCACGGAGGAACATCACCTGTGTCCACAAGAGAGCTGAAACAGTGCTGTATTAGATTTGGAATTTTTAATAACTCTTTTCAGGCAATCTGGTGAGATGTAACAGACAACCAACCCAGTTATTTTCTCATGCATTGCATGATCGTAATCATGGACCCATGGTGCCTCAAGGTTACAGTTGCCAGGTACAGACCACAACTGTTTCCAGAACCTTTCATTGGCATTCATGGGAGGCCGCTTATCAAGTTATTATTATATGGTTATAAATTTCTAAAAAAAAGAAATGAATTCCAAGAGTGTTTTTGATCAGGAGTCAGAAGCTTTGGAACCAAACAATCGGAAACTTTTTTCATACCCAGTATATTCTTCAGACTGTTCTCGATTCTCTCAGGAACAATGCCAACTGCATTGGCCATACGATATGATGTGTGTCAGCCAAACTGATTGTATTTCATCAACATTTTCCTTTGAGGTGACAGTTGAGTGTCTTTCTGATCTGGTATCATCTTCTTGCCTCTCTCTTCTCTTTGAACTCTAACAGAAGCAAGGAAAGGAGCACATCTAAAATGCAAATTTGATACTGTATCTGCATGGATGGCTGCTGGAGTTCAGTTCGAGATAGAAGATAACAGCAGGGTAGCCAATGATTTTCAGCAACAGAGAACATCCTGTTGCTTTTGTAACAGCAAAAATCTGCTGCCTGGTTGTGAATGAGAGTTGGATTTATGCTACTTTGAGCTTTGTTCCAGCAATATCTTGGTGGTGGACACAAGAAATAGGCTTCATACATTGAACCAATGTGAGGAATCAAACCCCAGTGTTTAGCATGCCAAGTCGACTTGATTGTGTAACCTGCAGGCATGGAAAGTACTGTACATAATACTGGCAAACTGTTAAGAGTGTGCTACAATACATATTTCATAGTTAGGCTCAGAACCTTTCACAAACCCCTTGTATATTTTGATACAGTAGATGAAATTGAATAGACCACCTGTTGTAAACATACAATCTCATGCATGTTGTTCCTTATATAAACCTAATTTTGTCTTTTAGCATTATTCTATTGTGATAATGCCAGGGGTGTTCAATTTGTATGCCCAAACCATGAAACTGAGGTGCTGAGTAAAGGGGAAATATAATTTACCTGCCCTTAGAAAAGTATAAAACAGCAGTTTTTCAATGTAACCTTTGAAAGTTTTCAATATTTAATTAAAACTGAAATTAAAAAAGAAGAGTTTTAATAAGTTTGGTTTGGTAACATCCAGTGGCTGACTCACGATTGCAAAAATGGGTAAGTTGAAAATCAGCTGGGTAAGTTGAAAAAAGTTTCATTTCAGTATTTGAACACCCCTGGATAATACTATATATTTATACTATTTAATTTATTACCTGCTGTGACTGCATTTAACCCAATGAATACTCATTAAACGATGGATTACACTAGGCGAACCCACAATGGTTAGTCAAAGATGAATGTCAAGGTAAATTCAAAGGAGTTTTTAGTGGAAATTATCCTTCACTTCAATAGTTGGTAGATCATATCAAAATAGATTTGTCTTTTGCAGAATAATTACCTTTAAAAACTACATGCATATTCTTTTATGGTGGAAGTTTTTTGTAACACAAGGAAAAAATTCTTTTGGGATTTGCAATACACCGTGATAATGTGAAGTTACAACTATCAAGTGACCTTTGTTCCCATATTTGTCTACGTTTTCATAAAATATAGAAAAAACAGGATTATTGTGTTGTTTAACACCACACTCAGCAATACTCCAGCAACATGGTAGCAGTCCATAAACAATCAAGTCTGGAACAAACAATCCAATGATCAACATCATGAGCATCAATCTACGCAATTGGGATACGATGACCAGGTCAGCGAGTCTGACCACCCATTCCCATTAATCGCCTCTCACAACAAGCATGCTGAAGATCAATTCTAACCTGGGCGCCATTGTACAAAACAACCATAGCGCTAAGGCTAACTTAAGTCTTATGTTAAGGTTTGGGAGTTATGGTCACCTTAGTGCTAAGATCGCTTTGTACAACGGTACCCAGGTTAATATAGACAGGATGTGATGGATGTGCGAATGATGGGATGACGGACACTGCCCACCTTTATGAGATGTACAGGCTGCCAGACAATTGAGCCAATTATTATGGATTGTAAAAAGAAACATGTTATTCATTAGTATTCATAACATATATATTTATAGTATAGTATAATTGTAAGCTATGAATTGAGTAGTGATTATTCTTACCTCTTCACACATCTGAAGCATACGCCTCGTACTTTCCAGCGACTGAAAGAAACAAATATAATGTTTACAAATACTGTCTCAACAAGCATTTCATTCGGGATCACTGGAGGAACAAGTTTCATTGCAGTATACAAACATTTTAAGCTTGTGCATGATACATACTGATACTGCAAAACAGGTAGGGAATTCAGAAATCACATTTAGGCTAGACCAATTTTATTTCTTGTTTTTTACGGAATTTTGTCCTCAGAAAACCTACAGGCAGGAGGGAAAAAAATAAAAATAAAATCACCAGTCAAAGTAATATTCCTTCTAAATACTCAAAGTATTTTACTTTTGATAACATGAAGTGTATATGGGGCAAAAAAAAAACAATCCGAAAAAAACATTTTTCTTGTAAGTTTACATTGTTGGCCAATAAAAACATTAGGATTTTATTTTTTGAGCGGGGAAAATATATTTATATTTATTTTTCTTATTCTTGAAAAAATACGACCAGCGGATCCGTAAAACAAGAAATAAAATTGGTCTGGTCTTAAGACTACATTTCTTGATATTTGAAATTCAGTGTTTGTTTGTTTGAATAGAACACAAAGCAAATTATATGACAATGGTCTGTAAATAATCAAGTATGGACCAGACAATCCACTGATTGAGATATTGAGATCTGATCTATGCAAAGGTGATATTTTGATATACATCAACCATGTCAGTGAATCTGTGAATCTAAATAAACGCTTATCCGAGGTTTGACACAACTGCAAAATGCCGACTAAAGAAGGAATACGAATATACAAACCTTTTACCTTGAGACAAACCATAATGTTTGATACATCAATGTTTGACACAATGGTTTTTTACTGTAAAAGCACTCTGTGGTAGACCTGAATTTTCTTTGAGAGTATACAATTTGCAGAAAACATAGCTGTGTTGGTTGGTTTATTGTTTAACGCCGCACTCAGCAATATTCCAGCTATTTGGCGGCGATCTGTAAATAATCGAGTCTGGAACAGACAATCCAGTGATCTTCTGCATGAGCACCGATCTATGCAATTGGGATACGATGACATGTGTCAACCAAGTCAGCAAGCCTGACCACCTGGTCCCGTTAGTTAGTTTACGATAAGCAAGGGTTGCTGAAGACCAATTCTAACCCGGATCTTCACGGGTCCACACAGCTGTGTAGATGGGATGCATATTATACAAACAGATTGTGTTCTTACTTTCTTTACAAAGTGAAAACATTACTGTGGACATATCACATTTCAGCCCATCATTGCAGCTTTTTCACGACAGTAGTTTCTTCACAGTAACTCACAGGTTTTGTTTTTTTTACAAATGCAGCTGTGAAGAAGGGTATGCATATTACACAGCAATATTTTATTAAGATTTTCCTTTCAAAATGAAGATATAACATGTGCTATATTTGGGAATACACTTTCTTAGTTAAGTACAGATTCTAGTGCTTTCATTTTGTTGAGTCCCATCCGGGATTCAAACCCACACCCTCAGAGTCAGGCACCTAATCATCAGCACAAAAAAGTCAGATACCACTGCGGCTCAGCCAATGCGGCTTCCACAAAAATGGAAATCGGACAAGTGATAGATATTTCCACAGACATGTCAACAAATCCCTTTCGAGAAACTACATTTTGACCAAGAATTTATCAGATGGTGAACACTATTTATTATCCATTTCATATTTCATAATTGCAGTCGATCTGTTCAACATTATTTCTTAGCTGAATCACATCATACCTACTCATTGTTACTTAGATCAGCACTGACCAGATTAATGTTATTAGTCAATAGTGTATTGAAATGATGCTTGTCAAAGAGTGAATAGCTTCAATCCCAAAAAGTTTCACAAACTCATGGTTGTAGGTGTTTTAAGTAGTATGTAAAAGATATGCTTACAGTGATGAGTGATGGTTAATGCTATCAAGAATAGTAATAACCTTGTCTTCATTGAAAACGTTTTAGTTTCAACAATGTTTAAACTAAGTTTCTTTTCTCTCACATGATCTTTATCACAGTATCAAAGACACTTAGTAACTCAGACCTTTTCTCAAATAGAAAAGACTTTGATAAAACCAAATTCAAATGCCATGTCATGACTTTTCCTGAACGGCCAGTGTTCACTTTGATTACCAACGTGAGATGCCAGCACAAATGGTTAGAGAGGTTAAGAGGTAAGAGCAGTCAACTGCTTTGTTGATTTGGAATGAAACCTTTTGGGGGTTCAATCAATTGATACATATTTTCTGTGACCATGAGAGTTATGGACAGGAATTGTCATGATAGTGCAATAAACATGTCAAACTTGACATTTCCAGACTGGTCAAGTTGTCAGATGCAAGCAACTTGAAAATATGTCTGTGTCCTTCTCCAGCAAGTTCTCGGACAATCTATTTTTACAAACATGGTCCAACCAGAAAGACATAAGCCTTTATATATAGAAACTTAGACAGCCTTCTTCAAAACTTACTTGGTATTTCAATCCAATTGGAGATTGCCAACCTTGAAAGTGTCAGACTTCTTTTGATCAAGTTTTCATCATCATGGAAAATATCAACTGATATGGCTGACAAGGAGGTCAATGTCAGTTAAGTGTCTTACAAGAATGCCAAGATGAAACTGATTGCAATGTCTGTGAATATGCCTTTTCTATAAATACAGGAGTATGTAACGTTTGGTTTGAAACATGAGCAGGATCTTCTACATATCGGAAGAAACAAATCTAAACCTGCAGTCAAAAAAATGCAGAGACCACAACCTTGGAGATCAGTCAAACAAGGAGAGTTAAATTTTGCAAAATCTCTTCACAAAGATGATGTTTTGAGTGTATGGTCTCCTGTGCATATCATAAGGTCAACTTCCTTGTCAAAAGGCCTGAATCAATGAATAACAAGAAGACGAGATCATCAATATCCCCGGCAATGGCGAAACACTCTTCATGAATACGTCTACTAGTTATAATTATGTTAAATGTTTTGGTGTGTATATGGCAAAGGGGAAGGAGGGCATTGAAAGGTTTTTAAGTTCTGCTCCAGAAAGGAGCACTACCACCAAATTCAATTGAAGCCTGGCAGGGAAACACAAAGAAAACTTTATTCAGACTTCCAAAAATACTAAAAGGCACCAGTACACCACCAGACCTTTCCATGTGCCAATTTTGGTGAAGAAATAGTGAAAGGTTTTAAAGCTCTGCTCCGGAAAAGAGCACAACCACCAAATTCAGTCAAAGTTGAACTTGTTGTCATGGAAACACAAAAAAAATATTTTATTCAGAATTCCAAAACTATCAAAAGGCACCAGTAGACCACCAGACCAATCTATGTGCCATGTTTGGTGAAGAAATATTGAACGGTTTTAAAGTTCTGCTCCAGAAAAGAGCACTACCACCAATTTCAGTCAAAGTCAAACTTGTTGCTATGGAAAAGCACAAAAATATTGAATTTTCTGGGTTGCATCTTCTTTTTAATGTTTGGTACAACGTTTCAGGGCTTGTTCTGGCCCCATCATCAGGTAGAACTGAGAACAGTTGGTTTTACAGTTCTGCTCCGGAAAAGATGAATGTGCACGGACGGATGGAGCGCATTTTAATAACCCCTGCAAAACCCGTTGCGGGGGGATAATTAACATTATCTTTGAGGTGTATGATAACATATCAAACAATAGCTAGCACTGTCAACCTAAAGAATACTACTTCTATTACATCATTAAGTCATAACAACCCATGACCAAGGTGAGGTGAGGTGAGGTGAAATTGGGTTAAACGTCGTGCTTGAGAATATTTCGCTCATATGACGACCATGACCAAGGCATGTGGTGAAATCAACACAGCCATACTCAAGCTGATCTGTGCAGATCTTTTGCTCTTACTAAGGGGACCTGTCACCGGTATGAAGCATGCATTGTGCAGGTTTCAAACTATTTGAAACAATTGCATTTAGTGCTTGCAGATGGGGAGGATGCCATCTTGGAAACACACCAATTTGTTCACCACTCAATTTCCTTCAACCAGATAATATTAGGAATATCTAAACTCTTCAGGCATCTTCTCCAGTGATGTAATGATGTGTGAAAATTAAGCAGAAGAGGTAATGTCAGTGTCAGTGAATCCTGAGCAGGTTTTGAAAGCTGAATCAAAACAAACATGGGTTGTTTAGCCAACCAGATGTTAACTTTCTAAAACAATCTTGCTTTGATTCTTTCAAACTTGCATCAGCATAAAATTTTACATTTCTCAGAAAATCAGTTCTTCCAAACTTCACAAGATTGTATTACATGAGACATGTCAGTATTGTTCTCAAAATAAACAAGCTTATGTGTAACTGAAGTTCTTACATTGAAACTTTTTATTTTTAAAATGAATACACAAATAGTCCTGCAATATCACAGTGGGAGATGTGTTACAGTGACTAATTCAGGACAGCCATCGTCCAAATATTTAAAAAGTCCAAAAACTATGTAGCCAAGAAATGTGAGAGTTAATTGTAATTATTTAATCTGCATTCTTAACCCTTATTACTACCACAGTGTACATTGTCTTGTCAGCCACCCTGTATCACTCTGTCACTGTCATTAATTACTGTATGTGACATTTATAGCCTTACTGTCATCCCCCTTGGCAATGTCTGCCATCACATCAACTGGTCAAGGAAGTGCTATTGTTTCTCTATCTGTCCATTGTTGAGTCGTCGCCTGTCCATTGTTGTCAAAAACATATATATTGTCAAGCAGTCTGGTATTCCGACTGCGTAGGGATGATCGCGAGCAGGATAATGCTGCTTGTACGAAACGCAGGAACTCTGCTCACCTCATTTATGTCTTGTGTATTTGTTTGTCGTGTAACTAAAGAAGTTTGAACTCAACATATTCATTTGTCTTCATCAACATGTAACTTGTCTTAATTCCGAGCTAATTCCCCTGTAGTTAGATCATACCTGTTCATAATGGTTAATGGAGATTTTCTGTTAAATCATAACTCCATTTTGGGCAGTTTTCACCCCAAAATAATCAGTCAGGGGTAAGTTCAC